CCAAATGCTTGAACTTTTGCCCTAGATTTTTAATAATTTTGTCCAGACTGACATGTTCTAACGGTTGTCAAATAACAGCAACACAGAATACACCATCAAGATAGCGGTATAACATGTTTTAACTGTGTAGTCTGAACGTACTATTACACAAATAATATTTGTAAAAAGTGTTACTTATTTGTTTGAATTCATTACATACTCTCATTAGTTGATCATTCGAAATACCATTTCATGCAAATGTTAAATTCATTGTGTATGCAAATTGTATAGCTACCTATGGTCCGCGTTACGGATAGTTGTGGGAGTCAGAGATGCCAGATTTACAGACATGTCTGTGAACTTACATACTTTTTTTTTCACAGACATTTACAGACTTTTTTTTATTTTTTTTCACAGATATTTACAGACTTTTCTAATCAAGGGAAAATTAAAAAAATATTATTTTGTTACACTGTTTTACATCTTTAATCAAATTACACGTACGATGAATTTTGCAACACGTATTAGAAATTTGCGCGTTTTCAAATCCACCACATGAACGAGCTGTCACTGGCTATAGACGGTAATAGTTGTTGGCCGGTCTATAACTTGACTGTCTATAGTCACTGTCACTGAAAAAGTGAATGAAATCGAGGGGAACGAAAGTCCCAGATTTATTCAAAATTTACCAAAAATTACTTAAAAGTTTGATTTATTCAATTCAATTCAATCTTATGGGATTCATCCGATATAATCGTGCTTAAATCTCTAAAAACAACTAATATTGATTTTTATCGGTCATATCTCTTATATCGGGTCACATCTATATAAGTATCATGACAGGTAATGATGACACCCGTTTGTTTATAAGAAAGGTACGTCGTGAAATCTCAACCATCAGTTCAAAAATGTGGATCAGCTTTTGTATTAAATCTTGTAAGGATCTTTTCTCGCCAATCGAAGCTCACTTTGCCAAATCAACAACACCGTCAGCTAGGAAAAATTCTCTCCTATCCGATGGTGGAATTGGTTTGCGTAGTCGTGCTTCAGTTTGCAAGATAAGGTCATTACAAGTTTGCTGATCCACCCTTTAGTATTTTTGGTTGATAAATCTGTTCGAAAATCGTATGTTAAAAAATCATTTATGGCGATTCCTTGAAGAGTCCACAATGCCCTATCACTTCAAGTGTTCTAGAGAACAAATTTCGGACACAGTTGTGACATCACTCATGGAATTGGAACTCCCTGTCTGTTGCATCAAATGTGAAGTTCCAATTTCATTGTTGTATGTTTTGTGGCAGCTGTGCTCTTGAAATTTATATATAAATATATACATTACACACATTATAGGAAGTACGGAAACGCATATGTCACGAATGGGAATTCTCCAATATCTTCAACTGATTTCAATCACTACCTCAACAGACTTGCCCAATCTCAGGCATCCGGTGCAGATCAGCATCGATGAAACCTATCGTTTGGTCTTGGATTCTCAATTCAATTCTGATGCCAAATCTCCGGGCAAATATCGTTGCTGGCAGAGTTTGAACATGCAACAATCACAAAACCAGGTGCTGTAATTACTTTGCAAAATATGATGAATAGGTTGCGTTTCAGCAACCCTGTCCTGATTCATCAACACTTTTTGAGCACGAAGTGTTTAGAATCGTATTAATTGCTCTTTTAATGGTCGATTTCTCCATATTTAGGTGTTGGAATGTTGAATCTCTCACTAAGATGTGCTCGTTCCCCGCTGCTGGCGTGCAAAAGGATGAATACTAAGTAACTAATGGATTTCCACACTACATGGCATATAAGATCGACTCAAATTTAAGTTTAAACTACTCAAACTTTAGAAAACGTAGTTTACTTGTAGACTGAGTAAAATTATCCGAGCCTCATAAATCTTTTCGAATATTTTAAAAATCGACGAAAAATTTACTCATTTACTAGTACACACTCAAAAAATAAATCACATATCCAATGGAAAATATTCATTAGAATTTTACATAACTTTACTGTGGTATCATAATTGGGAAATGCACCACAAAATCACACGAACCTTATGTGTCAAATGAAATTTAAGTGATCAAATGAGTGTTATGTAAAATTCAGATAGATATCACTGGTTTTGTTAATGGATAAATTTTATGTGCATTCTCAATGGAAACTACATGAAAACTGTTTTTTCCGTGTACTAACTTCATATTTACATCGAGATGTTGCTAATATTAGAAAACAAATTCCTGTAAAAGCTTGGGAAGTTTTACTCAGTCTATGAGTTTACTACGCTTTCAAGGATATGAGTGACCTAATCTCAACTTAACCGCATTTGTCGTGTAGTCGTAATTTATCTTTTTATTCATTGTTTTTAACGAATAGGAGCAATATGGTCCCCCTAAGAAAAACACATCATAGCACATGAAAAACATACATAAATGTATGATAGCTGTGATCATGCTCATGCTTTGGAATATGTTTGATAATATACAATGTTCAAAATTTGGATAATAGACTCAATAAATTATTATGTTTCAGCTCAGTTCAGTTTTTGCTCCGATCAACAACCATACGGGGCAATATGAGCACCCTAATAAAAGTTAACGTTTTGACAGGTTTTCACTAGAAAATAACATTCAGAAATCATGTGAAATAGAAACATAAGTTCTTTTAGCAACAGTTACGTGTATTGCTGGCTGTATAACCAGCGGATCAGTAAAATGTAATATAGTGAATGCAATGCTTATTTTCTTGACTGCATATTTTATAATATTCTAGAGATTTTGAGCTAATGTTACATTTCCATTATTATCTTAAATATGTAATTGAATTTTGATACGGTTTTCATGGAGATGCATATTAGAAGCATTTTCAACAAGTTTGTAAAAAAAATAAATTAGATTGAGTTAATAGGTATTATGCCCAAACGAACGGTGGCCCATCTCGCCCCGTATGGTCTTCTTGTCCCTATCCCCCTACGGCGTAAATGGATGCAGTCCAAATTCCAATTAGTTAAAAGCAGGTCATTTTTGCTCGAACATGACTTTTACAGACATTTCAAATTTCACATCTATTTCATGACCACTCCCTCGCCCCCCCCCCTCTTCATCACACGCAAAACTTCTGCTAATTTTATGGAGCCCAATTACAGACATTTCTGAAATTCACAGACATTTTTCGCAGACTTCTAAAAAAAATTTGGTATCTCGGGTGGGCATGCTTGGCATACACAGTTGTACACACCAACTGCTCATTTGTTAATAAATTTTCACTCAGTTGTTGAAATTTGTTTTTCTTTTAAACAATTGATAGATTAGGATCATAGTTTACTATAGATATGCAAAGAGTAGGTAAATCTTGATATTTGAATCAACGCTAATGATTTTTTACACTTAGTACGAGATGTGCAGCGAGCATTCCTCACTTAATTTTTACAACGCAAAAACAAATACAGTTTATTACTAGAATTAAAATCTACTTGTTTTTACGGATCTATAACAAGCTTAAACTCTATTCTATCTACTGCTTGAAATAGAAATATGTTAGTCAACTGTGTGTGTTAAATTATTAGCAAATGAGCAGTTGGTGAGACAACCGTGTATGCCAAGCATGCTGGTGGGAGTGGATGTGAAGAATGTTACGATTTGTTAAAGAGGGTGGGGGTTTGTTTAAATGTCTAATGACTAAGCTTAAGCTAGCTTGTCACTCCTAAGCTTAATTTCATGCATCCGTAGTGCATTGGTTAAATATTTTATCAATGAAAAACAAAAACTGCCTTTCAGGCAGGTGGTACATAGAATTCAAACCAGCACTACACAGCTCTTCTTCTTAATTGTGATTCATCGTGCAAATTTCGACATTGGCTGCCATCGTCCCTATCTACGTCGCTGTGACCAAGATTAGGTCGAATGAGTTAGTTTATCGCTGCTTCACTTCGTAATGCGTCGTTTAGTCACTTAAAAGTTCAAAGAGCGACACTTCCAAGCAGACACTTGTGTCCTGATTCGTGGATGGCATCATGCTTTTGCTTTGCCCTTCCCAGAAGTTCACAGGCCAAGTTTGATAATTTCCACAAATATATTTCGCATTTATTATTAATATGCAAAGTCCAGCATAACAGCCCAATTTATGTCAGCACGCGACACATTTGATTAGGAAAACATTGCTCCTATGCCCTATACGAAATCATGCCATGACTGATAATGCCAACGCAAAAATAAGCTCATTTTCGGTGGTTTTGTTTTGGTATACAGAAAAAAACAAATCTGTTTACGATTGTATAGTAAATATGAAAAACCAAGCGACAACAGAAACGGGAGGTTGGAGTCATAACATGTTGTCTCTCTTCTTTTGTCTAATTGGAATTTACTATTGCATGAAATTGTAAATGGTGTGATAAATGGTATCTAGGGAAGTTGATCCCACATGAAAATTAACTCACTGTCTCTAACACATAGTAAGTTTTTAAAAGATTCTCCAAAACATTGTTATGAATTATATTTTGTGTGTAGAAAATGTTCTAATTACCTATCCTCAGCCAACTCTCTCTTACTCGATAATCTCCTGGATGGAAATCCTGACTACTTCACTTTTCCCATACATATTTCTGAAATTTACCTTAGTAGCTCGATGGTCGAGTTGACTACACGTAGAATGCTGCACTAATATGATATTTCGACTGTGTGCATACATAAGGGCGTAAACGCGATGATCGCTTCTCTTCGTCGTTTTTCTCTTCTGTTAATAACTCGCTTGGATAAGCGTTTCTCTACTTTTGATAGTCAATACAACCTGTCACAGTACTACATTGAACAAATTCTAAAATATTGTTTCGCTTAACTGTAGCAATTCAAAGAGAAAACCCATGAAGAGAATCGATCACCGCGTATACGCCCTTATGCATGCACACTGTCGATTTAAGCTCCATTTCGGTACAATGAAATTTACTACGTACAAACAGTGCGATCGAATTTCTAGTTTAACACTTGTTACACGATTTAAAAAAAAAACACATCACTTACCATTTTCAACGCACTTTCCGGATAGAAGTGGCACGGTCTGAGGAAAATCATCAGGAAATCGTCGTCATCGCGGTAGTGCAAATCCGTTGCGTTGTGGACCAGCTTGCGAAGCTCGAGGATGGCAGCTTTCTGCATTTCGGGCGTTTCGCGCAGTTCACGCCGGGCAATTTCCAACAGCTCTGGCCCCGGGGGAGACGTGTCGATATCGAACGGTACGAGACTCATTTTGAGTTCTTTCGAGGTTTGAACTGTTTGCAGGGTTCTAATTTATTTTCTTCTTGGCTCCTTATTTGGAATAAGGTGTACCGTTTCGCGACGCGTCGAGTGCAAGACTGATCGTGATAGCGTAGCAATCCTATCAATTACAGCTCGTGGGCACTTTGGACGGCGTTCCTATCAATAAATAAGAAATACATTTTTCCTGATAATAAGACGCTGATTTGCAACAATCGTCATAAGCTTGGCGCGAACCCTCTGAACGGGTAAATCATCGTGTGTTTTTTTGTTTTGGCGATAGAGCTACCAACGTTCGTTTATTTTTTATACGCATTCCCGATCCAAGCCATCGGTCACCCTTTTCAGGTTCCAATCACACTTTCAAGCATCAATAGAAACGGGGGAATATCAGCTGATCGCTCAAGACTCTATCGGTACGATATTTGTTATCAGTTGACGCATGAGGCTATTTTGCAGCCCTTCCATATTAATACATTTATATACATGTATATTAGGGTGATTCAAAATATGCATTTCGATCCACCACATTCAATTAATTTTAAATCATGTCCTGACTAGTCTCCCAAAATTTGTGGGAATTACGATGGGAAAAGTTAACTTTTTGTTCTGATCGTCCTAGCCTTTTTCCATACTAACTGTTCTTGTGTACTCAGCAACAACTTTGATAAAATTGAACGTCAAGATAAACAGTTCTCCCCCTAACTTTTCCCTAGAAAATGTCACGCTTTCTAACCTCGGATAATCGGTCTACCCCCATGGGACGTAGTATTAAGTTATTCGAGTTAAACATCAAACAATGGTATGTCGGCTCCGTAAAGCAAACGCGATTGAGTAGTCCAAATAAATTAATTAGAAAAAAAAATACAGGTAATTAGTTCAGATTTGGATGGAAATGCTATACTAATATCAACATGAAGCTTTAGTGCGATAATTTATTAGCTAGAGAAAGTTCTGAAGAGCTCTCTAGCTAATGAATTATGTCACTAAACCTTCATGTTGATATTAGTATGGCATTTCCTCCCAACTCTGAAAACAGTAAAGTTCACGTATGATGTAACAAAAACACTTTGATGGAAAATAAATAGATGTTTTTTGGAAACAATTAGGAGATAATGAGAAGCAAAGCACACATGATCGGCAAGACAAAACACACGCGTTCTCAACTCCGGTGGCACAAAAGTCATCCAAGAACACTTTGCTTGAGGCCGATGTTTTGGTTTTTTTTAGTTCGATTATACGTCAGTTATTGACAGCTGATGTGAACATTAGGAGTTTCAGCTTTGTTTATGCTTTTATTTAAATGGTCATGGTAACGTTGCGGTAGGTGAAAATTTATAAAGTGCGTGGAGTTTTCGATGGTTGTTTCGTTGTCATTCAGTTGTTTTTCTATCGCTCGATGAAATTGTGCATGAAAGCGAATTCACGGTGGCTTCAAGAATCAATGACCGTGCTGTTTTTGACCATGGGCTGATGGACGAAGCTTAAAATCACGATGACATCAACGCCACCACTACTACTGACGACAGCTTCAAGAACCACTGGCCACGCCAGAGGATTGGTTCACTCACACACACGTGGCAAACCGACCATGTTTGCTTTGTTTCTCTGTATCATCTATTATTTTTCAAAAAAAAAAAAAAAAAAAACAATTAATAACTTGCTTGAAAGATGATTAGTTGTTAATTGATTTCGAAACAGGACTATGATATGCTAAATTAACTGCTTTCAGGGCAACACTGCATTTTGCAGTATGACATAGTAACCGGGATGTTTTCCCCCTATGTATTCTTCACGCCAAGTACACCAATGTTGCCTGCTGAGCAGTTGATGGAGCATGGATAATCATCTTCCTTATTAATTTATAACTGATTACTGGGGGCAAGACAGCTTTTGGTCATGAGTAATATTTGAATTAATTTTGAGTAACTCTTAGTAACTCGAGTCGCTCAACATGGGATGCACGGCAACACAGCAACCTTGTTGTGTTTATTCCCCAACTGTCAAAGAAAGACGTTCAAAGGTGATAAATATTTCTAAAATCTGCAGCCTCCTATTGTCGAAAGGATAATCCTGATGAATGTAGAGGTCGTAGTGGAATTGCTGTATAAATGGTGGTTTACACTGGCTAACCATCCATATATAGATCCCATGACCTTCCTACTACTTCGTGCCAATCCCTTGCTAGCCATTTTTCATCCGAATCTAGTGCAGGCTGTTATCTGTCGACGTTGACGATAGCATTTGCAGATTCAAAATATAATAAATGTGTCATTTACATTCTGTTAAATTAACCAAAGTTTGAATTTTCGAAAGGCATCCAAGTTACGGCTACTACTTTGTAATAGTATTCTCTGACTTTTGTCTGAATGCACAAGAATTAATGCAGAAGTTTGAGGCAGTAACCTCATAGTTTTGCAATAATACTTGGGCATTCAGAGAATTCTAGAAAAATAATGCTGTTTGTCATGATATACAGTAAAAAATAACTATAAGCATTAGACAGAAAAGCAATACATTGTCATCGTACAGCCGTATTTAAAATTTTATGTTTCCATAAAACCAAATCAAGCTCCCATCCATCTTGAATTCTCAACTTATTCATTCTTATTTGAAATGATGCAATTTGCAATTGTAGCCATACAGAACTTCTGATTTGCCAAGCACATGGAGGTCTCATAAAGCATGTCTTGCCGGGTGATACTGATACATTTTTCATGTTAGGCCATCTTCGGATATGGCATTTTTACCTTATTTCCCTTCAAAGCAAAGCTCTTAGATTTCACTTAGATTTCATGCTGTGAATGAATCCAATTGATTAAATAACGATTTGTATCAAGAAATTAATAAAATGATTCAGATTCTCCTTCTCCTCTGACACATAATGTTTATTCACACAGTGATTTGTATTTGTTGATGTATATAAGGCCAGACTACTTTGATTATTGTTGAGTAATTATGAGTTACTCAAATTTACTCGGAGCAAAATTATTAGCTTTGAGTACAGCTGGCTTGCCCCTAGACCCTTGGCGTTCAATTAAACAGTGGAAGTCTAAATCATTATGGTGAAAGGTTAGGACGAGGCAAACAAAACGATGCATGCATTCACTCACTCTTTCCATAGTAATTCCCAAATAAACATCAAACAAAATCGAAATTTTGGACCACCCTAACATATTCAGCAGAGTATGTGGGTTCGTTTTCTTGTGGTGCGTTTTATCAAACTACTTCTCAGCAGGAGTGGGGAAGACCCAAGTGTAAATACATACGTGGACTATGGTGGCGCTACGGTAGCAATTCACGGAGGTCTAAAGTTCGAAGGGTACATAAACGATGTGACGTCGGAAAAATGATTCTACGCCTACAATATCGTTCAGATTGAAGTTTTGAACCGCCGGCAATTGATTCCGTCTTATCAGATGATGATGATTACCTAAGTGAAGAGAAAGTCCTATTTTTACGTTATCATAGTTTTCAATTTCCCTTACGTCAACAGCAACCTGCTTGTTTATGCAGAATTTCAAAACATCTTCCTATCGGTCATCAAGGTTATTGATATTGATGCAATAAACAATGGGTGCTTTGTTCGAAGCTACATATTAACGGGGTTAGCATCGTCAGCATCGTACCTTTGATTACCGGAGATTTTATTGGTTATTTAATGAAAAAAAAAAATGATGGGATTGTGTACATGATACGACCGCATGGTTAACGTAGACTAAGTTGAACTGTTAAATGAACTTCTCGTGCATTTTTCTTGATATTGATTTAAAATACAGTAGAAGTAACTTATTATTTCGGTCCTAATGAGTGTTACGATCAAAATTTGGTCAAACAAGAATGCGTGTAATTTAATTATTTTTTTTTTAATTAAAAAATATCAAATAATTTTTCTTTTTCAATCCTGATGAATGTGGACGTCATAGTTCATACATACATACATTTATTTGTACAACATCACATTTAAGATAAGACATAATCAACAATACTACGCCACAATACTCGGTTTGGGGCTGCCGCTCTCCATCCTCGGTCATGCCCAATGCTCGCTAGATCACGCTCTACCTAGTCCGCCCATCGTGCTCTCTGCGCTTGTAACCGTTTGTTACAAAACATGTTAGATTAATTTGTGCATAGTTGTTAAATGTACCGTCACGTCTCTTAAAGTTATTTGGTGTTGGATTAGTAGGGTTAGTAGTTGTTGTAAAAAAAAAATGTTAATTTGTTAGTAGGATTAATTGTTTTTAAATTTGAAAATTATATAAAACCGTACAACAGTACAGTGGGTATGAGTATTCTACCAGTGGGTACAACAGCATTCGGGCGAAACTACGAATTCAAAATGGGTGGAAAATAACGTCTAACGAGGCGAGCAATGGGATGGGAAAAGCGCGAAGGAAAACCGCCATTCCTTAATCAGTATCTGGCGTTCGTGTGCTTCGGACCGTTAAAACCAAGTGTCCTCAAAGTAATAAAAGTGAGTGGTGAATCGCGGGAATACCTATCTGTTCAATCAGGACCTTTTTGTGGTACCATTCGGTACAGCGCCATTTTGTGAACCAACCGACTAAGTCGGTCAGGAAGCACACGAGTCGGATTATTGGTCCTTAGTGGCTATTATCCTAACAGTAAAGGACATCATTTCGATTTGGCATTGCAAGGTCAAAGTCGCCACATTCCTCGGGCCAAGGCGGCTCTAAACGCTAAAGAGGACCCCTCTCAGCAGAGTCACTCCGGCCTTGCCTGGACTCTGGTGATTCTCGTCAACGAGGGTAGACGCCAGGAGACCGCAGATCGCCATCGAGTTAAGTCGATCTGTTGTTCCAACATCACCACCCTGTCAGGCTTGATTCGCCCGACGTCAAGCTCGTCGTACGTAGGATCATCGGCGAGCGCTCGCACATCGGCAGAGTAGTCTTCGGCAGAGCAGAATCAACGGCAGCAGTTCAGTACCGGTACGTCAAACCCCCAAAAACCCACTGTACATCCATAAAATTCAATAGAACTATTAGAAATCCAATCCACACCTGCTATAGTTTTTATTAATAAATAATAGTATACACCCTTTGATTACTGTGTCATTTAAACTTTCCATAGCTTTTAGTCAGGTG